CGCCACCTTAGGTGTATGTGGCTGGCGCCTTAGCCGCTTGAGCCACAGGCGCTGAGCCGTCTCTTTTTTAAAAAGAAAAAAATAGCCAGGCATTGTGGCAGTCCCAGCTACTTTGGAGGCTGAGGCAAGAAAATCACTTGAGCCAAAGAGTTTAAGGTTGCTGTGAGCTACAACACCACGGCACCGGCTAAGGACAACAAAGTGAGACTCTATCTCAAAAAAAACTTAAGGGGCAGGAAAAAACTCTGGTAAAATAGTTATAAAATATATTTTTGTTTGTTTGTTTCTTTGAGACAGAGTCTCAACCTATCGCCCTGCGTAGAGTTCTGTGGTGTCATAGCTCACAGCGATTTCCAACTCCACCTCAAGCAATCCTCTTGCCCTTAGTTTTCCTATTTGTAGTAGAGATAGTGCCTTGCTTTTGCTCAGGCTCGTCTTGAACTCATGAGCTCAAGCAACCCACCAACCTTGGCCTCCCAGAGTGCTGGGATTACAGATGAGCCACTGCGCCCAGCCATAAAATGTTTTTGTCCAAGGCTTGGTATATTTTCAATTTTCTCGAACATTTCTTAGGTAAAGAGAGACTTCTTTACTTTCTTTGCAGATGAGGCGTTGCTTGAGAGCAGTGTCTGCTTTTATAGCTGATTCTTGGGAGTGTATTCATTCTATAAGGCACTAATCACATACACACTGAATGAATCTATAATCACAGCAAAGACAATGTGGTGCCAGTGGACTGATGCTTAAATGAGAGCTCTTGCCTGTGAGTTTTGCAGTGAACCTTTGACAGTCATTCATTTTGATGGTTAGATGTCAGTTCCTGTCCTATGAGGTGAAATGTGGGATTAATATTTTTAATTTGACAAGCATATAAGTTCCTCCTGGCTTTTATATTTTGAGAGACCAGAGACAGAGGCCTTTGTCATCTTCTTTATGTTGTTCGGGGAAGTATGCAGGATGCAAGCCATAGATTAGGACGGAGAGGAAGAGTATGTGATGGTTGTGACAAGGATCAAAAGACAGCAGCTACTTGAGGTTTAAAAAAATTCAGAGCAGGTATCTCTGTGTAAACAAGAGGTCTCTGTAAAAGCAGAAATGGCCCATGTTTGTGTGTGTATACATACTTGACATGTAATGTGGAAAGGCATTTTCAAGATAACTAACTTTTGTTGCAATGCAGTCTACAGAAACTACAAAACCATCTTAATTACTGAGACTATAGAAAAGAAAATTTATTGTAGAGTGGTTTGTTAAGTTTGGTGAACATTGGCATAGAATAAGATTTTTCTCTTAATTTTCTTTCTCTGTTAAGGTATCCAAGCCCACCAATGGGATCTGTGTCCGCACCTAACCTGCCTACAGCAGAAGAAAATCTGGAATATGTACGGACTCTCTATGATTTTCTTGGGAATGATGCCGAGGACTTGCCCTTTAAAAAGGGTGAGATCCTAGTGATAATAGAGAAGCCTGAAGAACAGTGGTGGAGTGCCCGGAACAAGGATGGCCGGGTTGGAATGATTCCTGTCCCTTATGTTGAAAAGCTTGTGAGATCCTCACCACATGGAAAGCATGGAAATAGGAATTCCAACAGTTACGGGATCCCAGAACCTGCTCACGCATACGCTCAACCTCAGACCACAACTCCCCTACCTGCAGTTTCTAGTACTCCTGGGGCATCGATCAACCCTTTGCCATCCACACAGAATGGACCTGTCTTTGCAAAAGCAATCCAGAAAAGAGTACCCTGTGCTTATGACAAGACCGCCTTGGCATTAGAGGTAAAAATCTATTAAGACTGGCTTTGGAGGTTCTTTTTTTGTTTTCATTTTAGTTTTAGTTTCTTCTAATTAAAGATTATATTTATGGGAATTAGAGAGCTGGGTAACTTTGGCATATGCACTGTTAGTGTTTCACATGATTCTTTGTTTGTTGGTTTGTTTTTGTGGTTTTTGGCTGGGGCTGGGTTTGAACCCACCACCTCCAGAATATGAGGCCAGCGCCTTACTCCTTTGAGACACAGGCACCGCCCTCACATGATTCTTTTGTCTTTTCTTATTCTTTGTTTCTCCCAAGTTCTCAGCCTACTTGTTCATTTTTCTTTTCCCAAGGCCTTATAGATTTAGTCTCATAGTAGTTCATTTTCTTTCTAGTATTCATAGTGAAGGAATATATTGACCCTTGCTTATTACAGATTTTGTAAATTATAATAGCATGAAATAGAACTTGGGCATTTTAATTGCCAAGTCATTTTCTTCTTCTTTTTTTTTTCTTTCTTTTTGAGACAGAGCCTCAAGCTCTCACCCTGGGTAGAGTACTGTGGCATCACAGCTCACAGCAACATCCAATTCCTGGGCTTAAGTGATTCTCTTGCCTCAGCCTCCCAAGTAGCTGGGACTACAGGTGCCTGCCACAACGCCCACCTATTTTTTGGTTGTAGTTGTCATTGTTTGGCAGGCCCAGGCTAGATTTGAACCCACCAGCTCTGGTGTATGGCTATGGCTGGCATCTTAGCCGCTTGAGCTATAGGCGCCAAGCCTCGTTTTCTTCTAACTAAACATTAACCACCATTCATGGGCAAGGATGGTGGCTCATGCCTGTAATCCTAGCACTTTGGGAGGCCAAAGTAGAAGGATCACTTGAGGCCAGGAGCTGGAGACCAGCCTGAGCAAGAGCATCTCTACAAAACAAAAGAGATGCCTCATTGAGTAGGGTGCCGGCCCCATATACTGAGGGTGGTGGGTTCAAACCCCACCCGGCCAAACTGCAACGGAAAAATAGCCGGGTGTAGTGCCAGGCGCCTGTAGTCCCAGCTATAGTCCCAACTACTCGAGAGGCTAAGGCAGGAGAATCGCCTAAGCGCAGGAGTAGGAGGCTTCTGTGACCTGTGATGCCATAGCACTCTACCAAGGGCAATAAAGTAAGATTCTGTCTCTTAGAAAAAAAAGAAAGAAAAATTACCTGGGTGTGGTAGCATTTACTTGTAGCGTTTACTTGGAAGGCTGAGGTAGAAAGATGGCTTGAGCCCAAGAGTTTGAGGTTCCACTGAGCTATGACACCACTGTACTCTAGCTAGGGGTAACAAAGCAAGACCTTATCTCAAAAAAAGAAAGGAAAAAAAACCCAGATGTTACTGTAGCTTGCTGAAATACAAAAAAGTCCTCGAGATCATTGCTAGTGAGCCTATTCAGGGAGTGAGTGGTGTGACTGTGTGTCACAGAAGGTGAATTTTTTTTTTTTTTTTTGAGACAGAGCCTCAAGCTATCCCCTGGGTAGAGTGCTGTGGCATCACAGCTCACAGCAACCTCCAACCCCTGGGCTCAAGCGAGTCTCCTGCCTCAGCCTCCCAAGTAGCTGGGACCACAGGCACCCACCACAACACCTGCCTATTTTTTGGTTGCAGCCATCATTGTTGTTTGGCAGGCCCGGGCTGGATTCGAACCTGCCACCTTAGGTGTCTGTGGCTGGCGCCTTAGCCACTTGAGCCACAGATGCCGAGCCCCACACAGATAAAAGTTAGCTATAACTTGTTTTACATGTATTTATCCATTGGTTATCCTCAGTTTTCTTTGGACTAGGAGTGGTAGTGTGAGTGAACTATACCTGAAGGTTTATTTCAGAGACCATGATTTTGTCTCCCTCTCACGTTGGCTGTAAGGAAGGTTTTGTGGTAGGGATCAGAGACTAGGGAGGACACCCATGCTTTTATACTTCTCAGCAGAAAGAGAGGAAAGAAGCCAGGGGAAGCTGCCTCCACAGATAAAAGAATCCTGGCAGAGCAGGCCTTCCAGCTTTCTTGCCGCCCACACACACACACCTGCCCTGCACTATTGCACGTTGCTGGCCTGGTCCACACCTTGGAGCCTTCAAGTAACACGGAGTACTCTGTGCTTTTTTTTGAGACAGAGTCTTATTTTGTCACCCTAGGTAGAGTTTTGTGGCAACACAGCTCACAGTAACCTCCAACTCCTGGGCCTAGGCAATTCTCTTGCCTCAGCCTCCGGAGTAGCTGGGACCACAGGCACCTGCCCCAACACCTGGCTATTTTTTCATTGCAGTTTGGCCAGGGCTGGGTTTGAACCCACCACCCTCAGTATATGGGGCCAGCATCCTACCCACTGAGCCACAGGTGCTGCCCAGGTTTTCTGTTTTTTGGTAGAGATGGGGTCTCGCTTTTGTTTAGGCTGGTCTCAAACTTGTGAGCTCAAGCAATTCACCCACCTCCGCCTCCCAGAGTGCAGGCAACTGATTGTTGACATGTGCTTTGATATTATGCAGCTCTCTCTCTTTTTTTTTTTAAGAGACAGTATCTCACTTTGTTGCCTTCGGAAGAGTGCTGTGGTGTCACAGCTCACAGCAACCTCCAGCTCTTAGGCTTAAGCAATTCCCTTGCCTCAGCCTCCTGAGTAGCTGGGACTATAGGCACCTGCTACAACACCCAGCTATTTATTTGTTGCAGTTTGGCCGAGGCCAGGCTCAAACCTACCACCATTGGTATATGGGGCCAGCACCCTACTCGCTGAGCCACAGGCGCTGCCCACATGCACCTCTCCTAATCTCTCATATCTCCACATCTCGGCCTCCTTGTGATGCTAACTCAACTACCTAAGCTTCAGAACACCTTTGCCAAATTTCACTTAATATTTCTTTCTGTATATTTAAATGAGACTGTTTACTATAGTGTAAGTAAATATTTTTATGGTTATGTTATCTTCTAAAGGCATTAGGATAGTGTTGTGTGTCTTGATCTTGCTAAAAACAACTCTTGGGACTTTCACAATTAGGTTACAAAGAAAGGTATTAAAATTAAAATGAGAAACAGACAAGTAGGACAAAATGTACCAATAATTGAAGCTTTATTATTCCCCTTGATAGTATTACCAAGAACCATGAAGAGTTAGGTGAACCTTATTCCTTGAATTATTTACAAGGTTTTTTCATAACTTTTTTTCTTTTTTTTTTTTTAGACAGAGTCTCACTTTGTCATCCCTGGTAGAGTGCTGTGGCATCATAGCTTACAGCAACCTCAGACTCTGGACTCACAAAATTCTCTTATCTCAGCCTGCAGAGTAGCTGGGACTACAGGTGCCGCCACCACCTTGGCTATTTTTAGAGATAGAGTCTCATTCTAGCTCAGGCTGGTCTTAAACGCATAAGTTCAGGTGATCCGTCTGCCTCAGCCTCCCAGAGTGCTGGGATTACAGGCATGACCTACCATGCCTGTCATAAAACTTGATTTTTGAAAAAATATTTCTACAAGTAAAGAGATACTTTCTTTTTTCTTTTTTTTTTTTTTTGAGACAGAGCCTCAAGCTATTCCTCTGGGTAGAGTGCTGTGGCATCACAGCAACTCTCAACTCCTGGGCTCAAGCAAGTCTCCTGTCTCTGCCTCCCAAGTAGCTGGGACCACAGGCGCCCAGCACAACACCTGGCTATTTTTTGGTTGCAGCCATCATTGTTTGGCGGGCCCGGGTGGATTCAAACTCGCCACCTTAGGTGTATGTGGCTGGCGCCTTACCCATTTGAGCCACAGGTGCTGAGCCAAGAGATACTTTCAAACCAGTCTGCATTACTTGTTTTTCTCTCTTGCTCACTTTGCAAGAAGTGAGCTGATCCTGGTATTTGATTTGAATGGGAACACTTGGTATGTATTTAAGTTGAATCTGGGTTGGTGTTCCCAATCCTTGAAAACAGTAGAGCTCTCTGGTGCCCTGGGTGTAGTGGAGCTGGAAGGGCTCTTGGGAAGCAGGTCACAACTTAGAAGAATGTTCTCAGGTTGAGGCAGGCAGTATAGCCCTTTCTAAAAGATCATTGACCAGAAGAATGTTTGGAGTGAGAGTGCTGTTACAAAATACCTATAGACAACGTTGGATTCTCTGACACCTGAGAAGCAGGATTTTTAAGGAAACAGCACAGACCTGCATTCAAGTCCTGGCTTTTACTGGTGTTGATCTTGGGCCAGTTACTTAAGTTATCTGATTATAACCTAAAAGGCAAACTGGATCTTAAGAGTTAATGTTTGTTTATTAATCATTCATGCAGCCAACCAGTGGAGTGCTTTTGTAGGGTCCTGCCACCAAGGAGCTTACCACCTAATAAAAGAATAGAGACAGAAACCAGTAGTGTTAGTTGGAGAGTGAGGATGGTGATAGGAGATAAGAGAGTGGGTGTGTATTGATTGAGGAGGGGCTTCCAGGAGATGACTGACATCATTGAATAGCTATAGACAGGCACACTGAGCATGTCAGGGCAGAAGTGGCAAAAGACAAAGCCAGGAAAGTTGAAGAGATTATTAACATAGATCACAAAGGGCCAAGCTGAGAAAATTAACACTCTTCTTACATTACCTTCGTTTGAGCCATGAAACAGCCAGTTTCCCTCAACTGATGGAAGTTCTGAAGTTTGTAGGCAACTTACCTTTCTATTGAATTTTTTTTCTTTGAGACAGAGCCTCAAGCTGTCCCCCCCCCCGGGTAGAATGCTATGGCATCACAGCTCACAGCAACCTCCAACTCCTGGGCTTCAAGCGAGTCTCCTGCCTCAGCC